AAAAAAATTAAACAATTATTATGTAAAAACTATCGAACCGAATTGGATGAAATTTGGTGTGATGATTCTATGCACTGAGAAGTTTAATTGGAAAAAGTATGAAGATCCTAGGTATTATTCAAGTGTCTGAAAAAATTTACAAATAAACTAGCATTTTTTGCAATTTTTTAAATGATTTTTCCGATTTTTGCAACAACAATAATTATTTTTTCGAATTGCAACTAACTCTATCTTCATCAAAATTTAATTACAAATTTTTTTTCCTTTTCCATTTTTGTCTAAAACGAATAGTTGCTAAGTTGTCGACGAGAAAAAAGAAGTCCAAGAAAAAAATGAATTTTTTTGTTATTTTTTTATACTTTTTTGCAATAACAATTAAGCCCACATTTTTTTTTTATTTGCATAGAAATATTATCATTTCTGATGTTATTTAGAAGCCGTTAAAGCAAAAATCTCCGATCATATGCGTTTTACCCAACCCGAAACAAGTACCGCCTGGACTATCTCATTTTATTTGTATTTCAATTTGTCTCTTTCTAGCATTCAGATTACTTCATTAGTTTAGGTTTTACGAACAAAATAAGTATATATCTACAGACTGCCTTTTATATGATGGCACAGTCCGTTTGCTACTAGTATCTTTGCACAGACAATATAGCTTCTATTTTGTCTGTGATCTTTGTCACAAACAAAACCTCTATTAATTGACCTAATTGTAATTTCAAGATAAGCAGATGTTTTTTATAAAAAATTACTTTTTGTTCTAAACCTACACATAAAAAAGTTTTCTCTCTTCCGAACTCTATCCGGGGACACACTATACAACAATGCATATTTTATTAAAAGATCGTAATAACCTTTTTTTATGTACTAAGTCTACTTAGACTAAGTCCTTCTTAGAATGGCAATTACTGATGGCACGATCACGATTTCTTCAAGCCGACTGTTGTCTCAACTTAATATATCTTTACAGGTACTGCGTAATGAAGGGAGCAGACTGCGGCAACAAGGTTGTCCGGAAAGAAGTACCCACCGAACCCGTCGGAGTGGTTTGCCAGGTGGACGGCCGCTTCCAGGTGGTCGAATACAGCGAAATCACCGACCAGACCGCCAACTTGCGGGACGACGAGGGAAACTTGATATTCCGAGCGGGCAACATCTGCAACCACTTCTTCACCACCGGCTTCTTAAAGTTGATATCCGAGAACTACGAAGACCAACTGAAACTGCACGTGGCAAGGAAGAAGGTCCCCTTCGTTAACGAGAAGGGTGAACGCGTTACCCCAAGTTCGCCTAACGGCATTAAAATAGAGAAGTTCATCTTCGACGTGTTCCAGTTTTCTAAGAATTTCGTCACGTGGGAGGTTCCTAGGCACACTGAGTTCAGTCCCGTGAAGAACTCGGAAAGCGCCGAAAACGACTGCCCTTCCACAGCGCGTAGGGACTTACTGAAACTCCATAAATTGTATATCCAGGACGCTGGTGGTACGGTGACTTGTGACGAGGTGGAAATATCGCCCCTCGTGTCTTACGCTGGTGAAAATTTAGTGGAAAGGGTGTATGGGAAGGTATTCGATGGGAGGACTGTTATCTCGGCAGAAGAGGAAGTGGTTCCAAACGGTTTTTGAATTGCATATACTTAAACACTTATTTCTATCCGATACTTCAGTATTATATCAACACCTTTTTAAGTTTAACTATAAATATTTGATAATAAAAAGATTAAAAGTAACAAAACGGTTTTTAATACACAAAAGAATAACATGAATAACAGTGCTGCTTATTTCTGAAAAAAAAAACTATACATCGTGTCCCATTTTAATCGATCACCCCGAATAACTTTGCAGGATGACATCCAATTGAAAAACTTCCAGAACAAAAGTTGTAACGTTTTAAAAGGAGCGTATGATTATGACCTTGATTTTGACCCATAGATTAAACTTAGGGATCATTTGGAGGTCAACTTCAGAATTTCAAATGGAAATCCCATTTGTTTTATCCAGAAATGGAAATTCTACGATGAGATGTATATATATTTGATCTTGGATTATATTGACCCCTAGAGGCCCTCTGAATGAATTGTTTACATTTCATGGCAAAGGTTGATTAATTTTTGTGGCAAATTTCGTACAAACTACCGTGGTTATGATTTATGGGGTAATTGTAACTCTGATCTTGCGCCCTAGGGCCACATTTAGGAGGTCATTTAAGCTGATTTGACCTTCAGAAAGCTCCTAGGGGTCAATCTGACCCAAGATTAAATATACAGGGTGAGTCATTAATAATGGCAGATTGTTAACGTCAAAATATAGCGATTGAGCCAAACATGCCTTAATCAATTGTTGCTCCTTTTCCTTTTCTTTCTACAGGGTGTTACAGTTGAAAAAATATTTTCGATTTTTTGCTATATTTTAAGTACATATGAACCTATTGTTTCGAAAATTTATAGATTTACGTTTCTTGAAATTGCAAATACGAATATACCAACAGTGTTGGGGTCACGTCTAGGGGGCGCTAGTTGTATTGTCCTGTCAATGTAAAAATATGTGTAACTTTTTATATTTTACAATTTTGAATTTTTTAACTAGATATTATTGAACTACGTTCAATTGTAAATAAAAAAGGTATACAGGAATTTAGAAAATTAGCAAGTCAAAAGATACCAAGCCTAAATTAACAATTAAGACAATTACAGCAACTGAATTTTTTTTTTATGCATAATACCTTAAGAAATTATTGATCATAAAAAATTCTCGAAGCAACCACCAGCGACTTCAGTGCACTTATTTAAATTTTGTCTGAAAAATAAAGTTCTATGTTGTTTGATAATATTAACTGATTCTTGAATATTTGTCTACAGTTGTTCTTGACTATTAATAATGTCTTTGTAAACTAGAGAATTAAGATAGATCCAAAAGAAAAATCCAGTGGACTTAAATCAGGGCTACGTGCAGGTTGTACCTACTTCGCTACTGCGGCCAATCCAACGGTGCGGGAAATTTCTATTAGATGTCCTCTTACTTCTCGGTATAATGTGCTGTCAATTTATTGTCAATGCCTACTACTTTGGAAAAAATATTTTTTTAAATTTAATTCCCGCAGAATCTCAAAAACTTAAAATGTTTGTATCTCGAGTGAGTTTATCGATTTGTAACAAGTATACCTTTTTTAGAATTGAACATAGTTCAATATTTTCTAGTTAAAAAATTGAAAATTGCAAAATACTACATATTTAGTTAGACATATTTTTACATTGATAGGGCAGTATAACTAGCGCCCCCTAGACGTGACTCCAACACTGTTGGCATATTCGTATTTGCCACTTCAAAAAACGTAAATCTACAAATTTTCAAAACAATTGGTTCATACATACTTAAAATATAGCAAAAAATAGAAAATATTTTTTCAACTTTAACACCCTGTAGAAAGAAAAGGAGCAACAATTAATTAAGGCATGTTTGGCTCAATCGTTATATCTTGACGTTAACACTCTGCAATTAAGCTATGTACCATTATTAATGACAACCTGTATATCTGAACGTACAATTTCTTGCTTTTTCCATTTCTGGATAACACAAATGGAATTTCCATTTGAAAATGTGAAGTTGATCTTCAAATGACACCTAAGTTTAACCTCTTGAGTCAAAACCAAGGTACGGCCCCTTTACAACTTTTGTTCTGGAAATTTTTCAATTGGAGGTCATCCTGCAAAGTTATTCGGGGTGATCGATTAAAATAGAAAATGGGTGTATAGTGTTGCGAGGTTCAACTGGGCTTGTAATAAATTACTGAAATTGGGTATTCAAGTACGTGGTACTCAGACTCAGGTGAGATACAGGGTGTCTCACCACGAACTCGATCGATGGATATACCGGAAGTCGATACTAACTTTCTTATTTTAAATGGAACCCCCTGTATATTATTGCATTTTTGGAAAGAGCATTTAAGTTGAAAACATATAGCTCACTCTAACTTAGGATTGACCGTTTCCGAGATATTTTGATATTTAGGCAAACATTGACAGATGCAGACTGTCAGACAAATTTAGTTTTTCCGGAAACGCAAATTTATTTTTTTTGTGTGAATTGGATATTTTGTAGAGGAAGACCTAATTTATCGGATTTAACAGGAAAATTTTTTGCAGTTTTTATACAGGGTGGCCAAAAAAATGATCGAATATGAGGTTCATAAAATGTGGAAAACTCAAAATTTTTAAATAGAAACCCGCAATATTTTAACGTATTCGCATTCTGCATTAAAATTGAGTGTAACTTTATTAAAGTTTCCCTATACCTAAACCCAGTCGTTTTAATTTTATTATAATAAATAAACATTTTCGTTTTCCGAAAATGATGTTTCCATTTGTTTCGCACCTTTTAGGTTGGCCGTGACAGGTAAGTAACAATCAACATCAACTGTTCACACCTTGGGATTAGTTCCTTGTGGGTCAGTCCTCTAATAGAATCCGGTAATAGGTAGATGCTATTTTATTTGGGAGACTAAAAAATCCTTCTAGCGATTTCCCAGATATCCGTCGATGGAGTTCGTGGTGAGACACCCTGTATATTCAGAGTACTACATTAGAATTCCAAGTTAGCCTTCAAAACTTGCGTGAAAGCATTCAATGCGTATGGAAATCGGGACATAACAATTCTCTAGTATGTTTTTTTAAAGATCTATATACAAATTTGACACCAGAATTGATCAAACGAATAATGATTACTTTCTAACCTCAAAAAAAATCAGATTGTGAGATTCGTTATCTCCCGGCTGCTTGATTTAGAGAGGTTAGGTTTATGGGGTACCTACTAAACCGCGCATATCTCGACTGAAGGTTTTGGCAAAGTGAAACTTCTTGGACTTCATTTTGAATGGAAAATCTATATGAATAGTTCTACATTTAGAATAATATGTAGATACACGTTTTAACATAATCGCTAACCAATTTTTAATAGTACTGAATGTATAAAGTTAAAGCCTGTATCAGTCAATGCAATTTAGTTGCAGCGACAAAAGGGATTTTGTTGCGGGGATAAAATTGTATGATTATTATCACACATTGGGACAGAATTGCTTAGTTTGCAGTAGTGTTACCAACTGTGTATTGTTTAACATTAAAATTTCTTCTATGTCAAATCTTCATAAAAGTACCTAACTAAAATCCCTGCAATTTTGTTGCACGTAATAGAACATGTCCTAATTCATGCAATTACGTTGCCAGGACAGATAAGAAAAATTTCATGGATTCTATAGCGGCAACCAAATCCCTGCAACAAAATTGCATTGTCTGATACAGACTTAAGGCATATTAGTTAAAACTTTCCATAATTGTTATCAAATAAATTTGCACGTATTCTTTTATATAATAATTGCTCTGATATTTCGTATTAAATATGCCTATATTTTACTAAAATTCCCAGTAATGGTCAAATAAAAATGTAAACTACTTATTTAATTACTTAAAATGATTTATTACTGTCGTGTAATGTACCTAATCCTCTCCGAGAAAGAAATATGCAAGGATTATAATAATTCTTTCGAAATAAAATAGTGTCCTTATATTAATCAGACAATTATGAAAGGAAGGATTGTGTAAGAATTATACCATTTAATGATTCGAAAAATTTGATAATGAAACCCTCCCTACCTGTAGATAATTTTACCTAAATACTTCGTATGGCGTATAATCATTTATGATGCCTGTGTAAGTTGTCACATATACAAGGCCGAAAATTTGTGGAACTAATAAAAACAGAAAGTATAAAAGAGAGAAAGTCTTTCATCTGAAAGTTGTTTTCCAAAACAGGGGTATGTTTGTGCAAAAAAAATTACCACCATACGGTGGAAATATATACCTGGATAGAAGTTTTACCACAAAATTATTAAATTATTCTTGGGTGAAATAAGTATGTAGTTTTTAATCTTTAAAATAACTTGTTTACTCTTCGTTGGAAGTGTACATTGATTCCCTCTGGTAATAAAAGAAATCTTGAATTAAAAAAAGAAATTGCATTGTTTTTATTATTATAGATTTTACAATGTTTTTCTAAGGATTATGATAAGATAGATTTTTATTGCTTTTCCCTCCGTTGTTCTGTGAGATATTGCAATAATAAACAAGATAAACCTTCCAAATAATAAACAAAAAAATACAAATTTTTTGCCATAATGAATCAGAGAAATAATCACTCATTAGGTATACCTATATTAAAATCTTAATGAACTTATCAAACCACACCAACCTGTCAATATTTCTAAAACGTTTTCAGTAACATTTTCTTTTTTTATTTTAGTAACACTTTCTTTATTTTTAAACTAGCTTTTAGAACTCGTTCAAAAAACTTACAAAATTTGAATTTATGCATATCTGCACATTGAACGTTATTTTTTGTTTACTGAATAAATTTTCCAGAAAATAACTTCTTACAAAATGGGTATACAATTACTTTTACATAAAAACACTGAATACGAGAATTAACTATAGCACTGCTATTTCAGGGATCAGTTGGTGTCTACAAAAAAAATAACGTTTCGTAATACAATCACACACTCATTTCGTCTTTTGTCATCTTTTAGGTGCCTTAATATTTGTATCTTTACTTTTGCATGTTGTCCCATTTTATGATCTCTGTATAATTAGCAAAGAAATCCTAAAAAATATCCTATGACTTGCTATTATTATTTGTGTTGTAAATTTTTAGGGGGTGAATCAGCTGACCTGGGTCAGTTTCCTTGGATGGCTCTCCTAGGATACAAACGTAAGTAAGATTTGCACCTGATTTTAGAATTTATTGGTATTTTTTTCCTTATGTGTAAGCATTATCAGTAACAAATATCGATAAAAGTAATCTTATTATTTATATTTTTATTACTATTACAAAACCTTTACTGTTTGATATCTCAAAACGGAAAATATCGCCTTGTGAACTCTAAAAAATTAATATTATTTTTTANCAACACCTTTTTAAGTTTAACTATAAATATTTGATAATAAAAAGATTAAAAGTAACAAAACGGTTTTTAATACACAAAAGAATTACATGAATAACAGTGCTGCTTATTTCTGAAAAAAAAAACTATACATCGTGTCCCATTTTAATCGATCACCCCGAATAACTTTGCAGGATGACATCCAATTGAAAAACTTCCAGAACAAAAGTTGTAACGTTTTAAAAGGAGCGTATGATTATGACCTTGATTTTGACCCATAGATTAAACTTAGGGATCATTTGGAGGTCAACTTCAGAATTTCAAATGGAAATCCCATTTGTTTTATCCAGAAATGGAAATTCTACGATGAGATGTATATATATTTGATCTTGGATTATATTGACCCCTAGAGGCCCTCTGAATGAATTGTTTACATTTCATGGCAAAGGTTGATTAATTTTTGTGGCAAATTTCGTACAAACTACCGTGGTTATGATTTATGGGGTAATTGTAACTCTGATCTTGCGCCCTAGGGCCACATTTAGGAGGTCATTTAAGCTGATTTGACCTTCAGAAAGCTCCTAGGGGTCAATCTGACCCAAGATTAAATATACAGGGTGAGTCATTAATAATGGCAGATTGTTAACGTCAAAATATAGCGATTGAGCCAAACATGCCTTAATCAATTGTTGCTCCTTTTCCTTTTCTTTCTACAGGGTGTTACAGTTGAAAAAATATTTTCGATTTTTTGCTATATTTTAAGTACATATGAACCTATTGTTTCGAAAATTTATAGATTTACGTTTCTTGAAATTGCAAATACGAATATACCAACAGTGTTGGGGTCACGTCTAGGGGGCGCTAGTTGTATTGTCCTGTCAATGTAAAAATATGTGTAACTTTTTATATTTTACAATTTTGAATTTTTTAACTAGATATTATTGAACTACGTTCAATTGTAAATAAAAAAGGTATACAGGAATTTAGAAAATTAGCAAGTCAAAAGATACCAAGCCTAAATTAACAATTAAGACAATTACAGCAACTGAATTTTTTTTTTATGCATAATACCTTAAGAAATTATTGATCATAAAAAATTCTCGAAGCAACCACCAGCGACTTCAGTGCACTTATTTAAATTTTGTCTGAAAAATAAAGTTCTATGTTGTTTGATAATATTAACTGATTCTTGAATATTTGTCTACAGTTGTTCTTGACTATTAATAATGTCTTTGTAAACTAGAGAATTAAGATAGATCCAAAAGAAAAATCCAGTGGACTTAAATCAGGGCTACGTGCAGGTTGTACCTACTTCGCTACTGCGGCCAATCCAACGGTGCGGGAAATTTCTATTAGATGTCCTCTTACTTCTCGGTATAATGTGCTGTCAATTTATTGTCAATGCCTACTACTTTGGAAAAAATATTTTTTTAAATTTAATTCCCGCAGAATCTCAAAAACTTAAAATGTTTGTATCTCGAGTGAGTTTATCGATTTGTAACAAGTATACCTTTTTTAGAATTGAACATAGTTCAATATTTTCTAGTTAAAAAATTGAAAATTGCAAAATACTACATATTTAGTTAGACATATTTTTACATTGATAGGGCAGTATAACTAGCGCCCCCTAGACGTGACTCCAACACTGTTGGCATATTCGTATTTGCCACTTCAAAAAACGTAAATCTACAAATTTTCAAAACAATTGGTTCATACATACTTAAAATATAGCAAAAAATAGAAAATATTTTTTCAACTTTAACACCCTCTAGAAATAAAAGGAGCAACAATTAATTAAGGCATGTTTGGCTCAATCGTTATATTTTGACGTTAACACTCTGCAATTAAGCTATGTACCATTATTAATGACAACCTGTATATCTGAACGTACAATTTCTTGCTTTTTCCATTTCTGGATAACACAAATGGAATTTCCATTTGAAAATGTGAAGTTGATCTTCAAATGACACCTAAGTTTAACCTCTTGAGTCAAAACCAAGGTACGGCCCCTTTACAACTTTTGTTCTGGAAATTTTTCAATTGGAGGTCATCCTGCAAAGTTATTCGGGGTGATCGATTAAAATAGAAAATGGGTGTATAGTGTTGCGAGGTTCAACTGGGCTTGTAATAAATTACTGAAATTGGGTATTCAAGTACGTGGTACTCAGACTCAGGTGAGATACAGGGTGTCTCACCACGAACTCGATCGATGGATATACCGGAAGTCGATACTAACTTTCTTATTTTAAATGGAACCCCCTGTATATTATTGCATTTTTGGAAAGAGCATTTAAGTTGAAAACATATAGCTCACTCTAACTTAGGATTGACCGTTTCCGAGATATTTTGATGTTTAGGCAAACATTGACAGATGCAGACTGTCAGACAAATTTAGTTTTTCCGGAAACGCAAATTTATTTTTTTGTGTGAATTGGATATTTTGTAGAGGAAGACCTAATTTATCGGATTTAACAGGAAAATTTTTGGAGTTTTTATACAGGGTGGCCAAAAAAATGATCGAATATGAGGTTCATAAAAAAATGTGGAAAACTCAAAATTTTTAAATAGAAACCCGCAATATTTTAACGTATTCGCATTCTGCATTAAAATTGAGTGTAACTTTATTAAAGTTTCCCTATATCTAAACCCAGTCGTTTTCATTTTATTATAATAAATAAACATTTCCGTTTTCCGAAAATAGTGTTTCCATTTGTTTCGCACCTTTTAGGTTGGCCGTGACAGGTAAGTAACAATCAACATCAACTGTTCACACCTTGGGATTAGTTCCTTGTGGGTCAGTCCTCTAATAGAATCCGGTAATAGGTAGATGCTATTTTATTTGGGAGACTAAAAAATCCTTCTAGCGATTTCCCAGATATCCGTCGATGGAGTTCGTGGTGAGACACCCTGTATATTCAGAGTACTACATTAGAATTCCAAGTTAGCCTTCAAAACTTGCGTGAAAGCATTCAATGCGTATGGAAATCGGGACATAACAATTCTCTAGTATGTTTTTTTAAAGATCTATATACAAATTTGACACCAGAATTGATCAAACGAATAATGATTACTTTCTAACCTCAAAAAAAATCAGATTGTGAGATTCGTTATCTCCCGGCTGCTTGATTTAGAGAGGTTAGGTTTATGGGGTACCTACTAAACCGCGCATATCTCGACTGAAGGTTTTGGCAAAGTGAAACTTCTTGGACTTCATTTTGAATGGAAAATCTATATGAATAGTTCTACATTTAGAATAATATGTAGATACACGTTTTAACATAATCGCTAACCAATTTTTAATAGTACTGAATGTATAAAGTTAAAGCCTGTATCAGTCAATGCAATTTAGTTGCAGCGACAAAAGGGATTTTGTTGCGGGGATAAAATTGTATGATTATTATCACACATTGGGACAGAATTGCTTAGTTTGCAGTAGTGTTACCAACTGTGTATTGTTTAACATTAAAATTTCTTCTATGTCAAATCTTCATAAAAGTACCTAACTAAAATCCCTGCAATTTTGTTGCACGTAATAGAACATGTCCTAATTCATGCAATTACGTTGCCAGGACAGATAAGAAAAATTTCATGGATTCTATAGCGGCAACCAAATCCCTGCAACAAAATTGCATTGTCTGATACAGACTTAAGGCATATTAGTTAAAACTTTCCATAATTGTTATCAAATAAATTTGCACGTATTCTTTTATATAATAATTGCTCTGATATTTCGTATTAAATATGCCTATATTTTACTAAAATTCCCAGTAATGGTCAAATAAAAATGTAAACTACTTATTTAATTACTTAAAATGATTTATTACTGTCGTGTAATGTACCTAATCCTCTCCGAGAAAGAAATATGCAAGGATTATAATAATTCTTTCGAAATAAAATAGTGTCCTTATATTAATCAGACAATTATGAAAGGAAGGATTGTGTAAGAATTATACCATTTAATGATTCGAAAAATTTGATAATGAAACCCTCCCTACCTGTAGATAATTTTACCTAAATACTTCGTATGGCGTATAATCATTTATGATGCCTGTGTAAGTTGTCACATATACAAGGCCGAAAATTTGTGGAACTAATAAAAACAGAAAGTATAAAAGAGAGAAAGTCTTTCATCTGAAAGTTGTTTTCCAAAACAGGGGTATGTTTGTGCAAAAAAAATTACCACCATACGGTGGAAATATATACCTGGATAGAAGTTTTACCACAAAATTATTAAATTATTCTTGGGTGAAATAAGTATGTAGTTTTTAATCTTTAAAATAACTTGTTTACTCTTCGTTGGAAGTGTACATTGATTCCCTCTGGTAATAAAAGAAATCTTGAATTAAAAAAAGAAATTGCATTGTTTTTATTATTATAGATTTTACAATGTTTTTCTAAGGATTATGATAAGATAGATTTTTATTGCTTTTCCCTCCGTTGTTCTGTGAGATATTGCAATAATAAACAAGATAAACCTTCCAAATAATAAACAAAAAAATACAAATTTTTTGCCATAATGAATCAGAGAAATAATCACTCATTAGGTATACCTATATTAAAATCTTAATGAACTTATCAAACCACACCAACCTGTCAATATTTCTAAAACGTTTTCAGTAACATTTTCTTTTTTTATTTTAGTAACACTTTCTTTATTTTTAAACTAGCTTTTAGAACTCGTTCAAAAAACTTACAAAATTTGAATTTATGCATATCTGCACATTGAACGTTATTTTTTGTTTACTGAATAAATTTTCCAGAAAATAACTTCTTACAAAATGGGTATACAATTACTTTTACATAAAAACACTGAATACGAGAATTAACTATAGCACGGCTATTTCAGGGATTAGTTGGTGTCTACAAAAAAAATAACGTTTCGTAATACAATCACACACTCATTTCGTCTTTTGTCATCTTTTAGGTGCCTTAATATTTGTATCTTTACTTTTGCATGTTGTCCCATTTTATGATCTCTGTATAATTAGCAAAGAAATCCTAAAAAATATCCTATGACTTGCTATTATTATTTGTGTTGTAAATTTTTAGGGGGTGAATCAGCTGACCTGGGTCAGTTTCCTTGGATGGCTCTCCTAGGATACAAACGTAAGTAAGATTTGCACCTGATTTTAGAATTTATTGGTATTTTTTTCCTTATGTGTAAGCATTATCAGTAACAAATATCGATAAAAGTAATCTTATTATTTATATTTTTATTACTATTACAAAACCTTTATTGTTTGATATCTCAAAACGGAAAATATTGTGACCTTGTGAACTCTAAAAAATTAAAATTATTTTTTAGAAAGAAACGTCAACTTTGTAGAATATTTATGCGGAGGAACTATAATTACAGACAGTTTTATTCTAACAGCTGCGCATTGCTTGTCTGTTGGCAAAAGACATGAATTGTGAGTATAAAAAACTATGGGTTAGTGATGAATTTGACATTATCAATTTGTACACAAATTACTGAAAAACAGGAACCTAAAGAGGTTCTATTTGGTGGAACATTTGCTTTTCATTTACATATTTACTCGTTAAAAAGTAACAGACCCATTAGGTTTCCTATTGATTCAGCTACTAACAAATTAGGATTTTCTGTTACTATTAATTGTAAAACAATATTAAAAATATACAAACTAGCATGATTTTTCAGGTTAATATACCGTGGCCTATGTATCTGGTTACCACTAGTTACAGACCTGCATTACACTTCTTTATCTTTAGCTGGAAATCTTTGCCCTGCCTTTGTTGTTCTTGGTCTAAGCTATGTGGTGGTGGGCCCGCCATCAGAATCCATCAGTCGCGGCGAAACTTTTGCAGAGTCACCACTAAAGATACCGACAGTGAAGAACGGCGAAACTTTTGTAAACATTGAATGTGACTAGCTACAGATACTACTACGGAACGTCTCAGTGGATCGCCATTATTTGAAAACGGTTCTATCTGTTGTGGCCTTAGAATCAACAATAAGAACCGAAATTAACGTCAGAGCAGGTCTAAGGATTCTCATAGCGGGTTTGCCCCCACAAATGCTTGCCCAAGAACAACAAGGAGAGCCGAAGATTGCTAACCAAGGCTAAGGAAGTGTAATGTAAGTCCGCAACTGGTGAAGATCAGAAAAACCATCATACTTTAAACATTTTAAAAATCTTGATTATCGTTTTTGCTTATTTACTGCGATCTCTTTAGGGTCACCGTTCGAGTTGGCGAACATAACTTACAAACAGAAAAAGACTGTGCAACGATTGTAGGGGTGGAACATTGTTCAGAGAAGCCTATGGATTTACCTGTAATGCAGAATATTCAGCATCCCGATTATGATCATGGAACTTTAAAAAACGATATAGCTCTAGTCAAAGTGAGGACATCTATAACGTTTACAGGCAAGTGTTAACTACACGCATGCTGTTACATCACTTTTGAGTGCCATTTTGTTTTTTTGTACAGGGTGATTTAACAAAACTTGTACGGATGAAAACTAAAAATCGAAATAGATTATTAGAACCTAATTTACCCAGATACCAAATGACGCCCTTAAAAAATTACAATCCCTTAAAGTTGAAATGAAAAGAAAAAGAAATGAAAGAAAAAAGAAAAGAAAATATACAAACTCTTAAGCACCTAAAGATATATTTTTTAATTTCATTCGTAACCAATGCTAGTTAGTTTTCCCATGTTTTCAAGAGAATATCTTTGAAATCTATTGACGAGATGGGGGTAATGTAAGGGTAGTCGCCCTTGTTTTTTCAATACTCCATACCGTCAATGAATTTTATTGATATTCACTTCAAAATATAGCTATTTATTGACATTGATCATTAACCAAATTTGAAAAAAAATTATATCTTCAGGTGTTTAGGAGAAAATTGTATTTTTGCTTTTTTTCATTGTAGCTTTAAAGGACTGTAACACGTTTGAGGTGCATTTTGATATCTAGGCAAATTATGTCCAAACAATCTATTTTGACTCCAAGGTTCCGCCATATTTTAGAAACACTCTGTATACTCTGTAAGAATGTTCTGACAAAATCGGTATCAATAACAAATAAATAATATTGCTAAGAAATATTGACGTGATGTAGCTTATAACAAAAGTTTGACGTAGTCATCTTGCATCATACCACTCTTGCTGTCCAAGCTTGTGAATGTTCTTCATAAAAAAAGCTTTTTGGTTAGTGAAACCGGATCTTTCGATAATATCGCGACCTTCAGCTTGTTCATCAGCATGTGAGGGTATTGGGTACTAGTCACAATTGCACCTTTTTTGATGTCTTCCTTCTAATGGGTAGTAATGTATCCAAGATTCATGTATAGTTTGAAGTAACATTTGTGGGATTGAAAATAGTAGAGGCGATGCAAAAACGGTTAAATTCACTCCAAAAAGTTTTTATGCAACTTTATGGACAGACCTGTCTGTGTTTTTATGATAATTTATGTTAGTTAACGATTTTGCCTCCTCTGTTTATAGATTACGTGCAGCCGGTCTGCCTACCTTTTGGAAGAAATTTGGAGAACACAGATTTAGCTGGCCAAAAATTTACAATAAGCGGTTGGGGGAAAACCGAATCTAGTGAGTACAAAGCATTAAATGTTCCACTGAAATAGCATTGTTGATGCATTAGTTTTTAGATCAGTTCAGCTGAGAATAAGAAAGATGTACTTTTTCAGGAAACGTAGGAGGTTCTCCAGTTCTTCAATTTGCATTTGTTCAAATTTGGAATCAATCAGAATGCAATAAAGTAGTTCCTCCAGAGGTAAGGCAAAATTGATTTACTTAAAAACTGAAGCAATTTTAGTATTATATATAAAAAATTCTAGGGTAATGAGCGGTTTCACTATTTTTATAATGACCCAAAGCTCTTGCATTCAATAAACAAAGATGTCATTAAATCTGAAAAATCTTAATTAAGTACATATGTATTATAGACTTAATTCTACTACTCTGGCGAATTCTATGAGACACTCATGGCTACTATTGACTGAGCTTCCTTTTTTGCTACTTCTTTATTTCGCTTTCAATTTTTTAAAAGCTTTTTCTGAAAGACCATTGGACTTGGACATAGATGCTGATTGAATGTTGTAAAGAACTATGCACTTATTATATGACTTCCTCTAGGTGCAACCGATTACAGAAAACCAAATATGCGCAAATGGGCGAAAGGAAGACGCCTGCAAAGGAGATAGCGGTGGACCCTTATTCAACGCCTCACTGGATGCAAATGATGAACTAAGAAACTTCCAGGTTGGGATCGTATCATTCGCATCAACCGTTGCTTGTGGAATTGAGGACTTGCCCGCTATTTACACCAGGATCGACAGATATTTGATTTGGATTGTAGACAATATTAAATAAGTGTGTTAGTTAAACTTAGGACATATCATTAACACCTGCCGCAATTATGTTAACACGTTTTGTAGGAATAGATATTGCATTATTTTAAATAGAAGTGTACGTAGGTAATAAAAACTGTTCTACAAATATAAAAATGTAGGTAATGGTTTAAGCTTATTCCCTTCGTCTAAAGTAACAAGAACAGAGATAGTTGGAAAGCATTATCATGCTTAAAAAAAAATGATACAATACGAGTTATTATAATTTTTGGCAGGCCTAGACACGAGACAATTTTTATTTATTATTTAAAATACCCACATTAATTAGAAAATAATAAAAATTATTTTACAATAACTTATGTATCTTGAGTTTCATTTGCATTATATGATAACAAATGCAATCGAAGAATAACCATTCCCAGTACTATAAAGTACTAATAAATTCTCAAAATTTCTTGATGTCAATTGCTATTTGTCAATCTATTTATTGTGTGAAATTCTATATTATTATTTATTATACTTTGTCAGTTAATCCAAATAGTACTTGATTCATCGGGTAGATGAGTATAGGCAGGAGTTGGGTCAATTTCATATCAATTTCAATACATAATTGTTCAGCTTATTAAATCCCAATTTGAAACCAATATAAATTGGATACAATCGATCGTCTCGGGAGAAAGTCATGTTGGTTTAGTGAAATATAACCCTTGACAATTAATACTAAAGATTAGAGTATACATATAGAGACATCTCGAAAATATTGGATAAAGTTGGACAAAATTGCTATAGGTCTATTATATCTCAAATTCGCGAGATCGCCGCGCCAAGTATAAGACATATTCTTTCTGCATTCCAAAAATCATAAAAACTTGCTGAATTGGCTATAATATTAAATAATTGAAGCAATGCCAATGATGTAATTAAAACTTCCCAGCAATACTTTATTAAAAAAACTGGTAATATGATCATTTCTGCATGTCATTCTGTTTTTCAGCTTCAGAATAGATGGGCGAATATCATTCTCAGTAAACTGAAAACAAGTTGGAAGTAGACTGGCAGATGTGATTTAATAAATTTAAAGCATATATATCATCGGTCATTTGCATTTGCCATTTGGTTCCTAGCGACCGAGGCGTTACTGGTGGCCCACCCTGTATATTACGACTTTTTAAATTTATTATGATGATATGCTTTATGTTATTAATTATTTGACTAATGTAACAAGATGGGTATTTTCTTTTAAACTTATTATTCAGGGTGTTCTATAAGCTCTACGACAAACTGTAACAGATGGTACCTGATAAATAAAAACGATGGTATAACAATAATAATTATTTTTATTTAAAGTTCGAGGCTCGAATGCAAGCCCCACATTGGCGAACTAAAGATTCTATCACTTAACGAATGAGATTTGGATAATTTCTTATCTCGTTAGCTGCTTTCTTTCAAGTATCTACTGACGGGTAGTGATTTCAACATGGTAGACGAGCTGCTTCATATGTCCCCAACAATAAAAGTCCAAAGGATTTAGATCTGGCGAACGCGATATCCATACTATTGGACTTTGTTCACCTAGGTACATATTTATTCGGGAAATGATCAGTTAACCAGCAATTACTATTATATCTTCTTCGTTTTGTACATTCACTTCGATAGTACGAATAGCCTTTTTGGAGCGGGGTTACCTTCTTCTCGAAGTCTACGGAATGATGCACTAAAGACTGTGTGGGCAGGTTGATGTCTGAGTATCTTCGCCGGTATTCTCGGGCTGCTTGTCTGGCATTCCCATTGGAATAGAAAGACGATATCTTGATACTTTTCAGTTGTAAAGAAGTGCATTTTTTATTTAGCACTTTAACACTAAGTGTCAAATAAACAAAATAACCCATCATTTTTTTTATTAGGCTACTTTGATTGAAATATGAAGTTATATTTTTTAAAAATGCTTGTAACTTCTAAACAAAAATGATTCGGGGCTATGTTCATATAAGAAAAAATGTTTGAAATTAACTCAGCCACCATCTGTCAAAGTTCGTATCGTACAATCTACTGTAGGATGCCTCACAGGCAAGAGTTAACGTCAGTATAATCTTAAAAATTGCCAATTAGTTAATTTAATGGCATTTGTAATATTTTTTACTGAAAAGAAAAAAATATATTTAATCAAATAGCACCTATTTCTCTGTAAAGTCACTCTTAAATATTTATTAATATAAATTTACAAGTACGTATCACAACAAAATATACATCTATATAAAGCTATGTTAACTATTTACAAATAAATTATGGAAATATATGGAAATAAATTGGGGATGGTTTAATTAAGGTGCACTTCGTCTCCAATCCAGGTGCACTTCGTTTTAATCAAGCTGCACTTCATCTTCAATCCAGGTGCACTTCGTCTTAATCAAGCTGCGCTTCGTCTTCGTCTTCGTTTGGCCTCAGATTATCCAGAATCCACTCCAAATATTTAGACACTTTGGTGTATACGCCGGGTTGTGCGTCAGTACCGCAGTGCCTAGGACCGTAAGACACAATCCCGTATTGAATAAATCTGGGTGTACCTTCAATGAGTCCCATGTATTTCAGGGGTCCTCCGCTGTCGCCCCCGCATGAGTCTTTTCCCTTGTAACCCCCGGCGCAGATCTGGTTGGAGGTGATGGTCGCGAACCTCTTGTAGTTCCGTTGACATATCGCTATTGGTAATACTGGAACAGACACCTTCAATAGCTCTGAACTCTTGAAACCTGTAAAATGTTTCTAATTTATACAAATAATATACACAAAATCGACTGTGGCAATAAATTCGCTTGTTGATTAGCACACTTCCAATGCCATTTTTGTCTTAATATTGCATTTGCATAGATCTTTCGTAGTATGAGAATAAGGTTTCAAGTAAATTCGTGGTTTTTTCAAGTATCCCGCAGGGATCTAATTTAGGGTTTTTCTTGTTTATACATTATATAAATGATTTCCGAACTAATCTGCTTAATATCAATCGTCCGCTGATTACTTAAAATTTAAAAGGACTGTGATTTATTACAAAATGATATTGACAGGACATACAGTTGAACTTGTCATAATATACTACCCTTAAACTTAAAAAAAAAATACAGCGTGTATTCTGGTTTTTCAAGTTAATACCTTAAATTCAAGTAGGCTGGCGGAATCAAGTGGAACTTTCTTTTTGTGACTCCTGCCCTGAAAGGGCATCATTTGGCAAATATTGACTTCCCGTTATTGTCTCGAATGCCTGGTCTGCTATGATTTTTTACGTGGATATATTTTTCAGAAAAATAAAATGTTACGGATAAATCATTCTATAGGTTGAAAATATTGAATGAAACAGTTACAGTTGATCTTGGGATGGTACCATGCCATTTTAATTATGGCTAGTACCTACCTACAATAATACCAAAACTTATATTCGTGTTTGATTTAACTGTATATTACTTTTTAAATTATATGACGTAAAAAAATATATGCCAACTCAGCTGAGTCCCCTTTAACTATTTTGTAGTATTTCTAGTTCCGAATATTTATTTGTTGAGAAAGAAAAACCAGTTTGAATAGCTTACCAGTTTCTGTAACTCCCCATCCCGATACTATGGCATTTTTTCCAATCGTATCGAACTCATTTGACGGTAAACATATGGGTTGAACATTGGCTAAAAAAATACATTAATTAGTAATGTAAAGGTGGGTACGTTGCATATAAACCCAAAAGAAAAATTGAAAAACTACAACAAATACATTACTCCAGTCGAAGTAGAGTTTGAACGTGAAAAAATTATTAGTAGACATTTTTTTGCACTTTACGACGAGGAAGAGTATGTAGAATGATAATATCAAAAATGTAACTCGAAAGAAGTGACGCTAAGTTAGCACAATGCAAATAGGTGGCAATTTTGGCAAGGGTTTTTTTCACTTTTTTACTTCCACGAAAATCTAGACGACCTGTCAGAAAATTAATTAGTCATTTTATGTTATAGACAATTAAATTACCTACAATGTATGGTTTCGAAAGTCATATTTCACCAATTTGTTAACTGTTTAATAAAGGTTGAACTTGTAAAAATCAGTTTTCGAAAATTGTGCATTATTATTGCAAAAACCCATGGATGTTGATGAAATTTATAGAAAGCACGGTCAATCTAAAGACCAACATGTGTGCCAAAGGCCGATTCGATTAACTGTGAAATTGTAGCTCCAGGTATTTGTTAATTAATTTCGTTCGTTTTTTTTTTTTCAACTAATTGTTTAATTTTAAATGTTAATTTTAGAAGTTAATATCGTAGATATAGGTTCTAATTGATTCAATGAAACATATCGAAAAAGAAAAATTTCAAAAAGTTGAAATTAAGTAGACTTTTACAACTAACAAAGTCAGGCAAAAACCGCTCGGGAATTCGCTCTTTTAACATTAAATATAGCTTATTTTTACGGCAATTAAAAAACAAAGAAATCACCTACGCCTCATAGTTCCCAAGATAGCGTTACCTAATTGTTAATTAACTATTGGACGTATCGGGCCGGGATTTTAGAGACAATTAAAGAAAGGGTTAAACTTTTCAGAAACTTTTACATTGATAGTTCACGTAATAAACGCACGCTGGTGCAGTAAAAGTTAACGTTAATGAACGGCTTGCACACGGGAGAAGGAGCGCAGAGCCCGCGTGTGCGCGTGAACGTCGTTCTTGTCGCGCACGAGTTTTTTTACTTGAACATTTTAAATTCGGTTCAAAAAACTCACATGTGACCGTGAGCGGCGTTCACGCGCGTGCGCGGGCCGGTTCATCAACGTTAACTTTTACTGCTGCTAGCGCATTTATTACATGAATTGTCAACGTAACACTTTTTGGAAATAAAAGTTTAACCTTTTCTTTAACCGTCTGTAAAATCCCGGTCCGATACGTCCAATAGTTAATTAACAATTAACATTATAAAAAAAAAGTTATCTTGGGGTCATTTCTCTTTTTAAAAAAATTACTATTAAGATAAGCTCTATTTTATATAAAAATTCGGGCGAATTCCCGAGCGACTTTTGCCTGAACCTGGGACAATTTGTTTACAACGCTGTTTTGCAAGTCCTTTGTTAGTTGTAAAAGGTTACTAATTTCAACTTTTTAAAGTGTTTGTTTTTCGAAACTTTTCTTTGGATAAATTAGAACCTATATCTACGATATTAATTTCTAAAATTAGCGTTTAATGATTAAACAATTAGTTTCAAAAAACAAACGAAATTAATTAACACAATGCCTTTTGCAATAATAATGCCCAGTTTTTGAAAACTGATATTTCCACGTTCGAGCTTTATTTTACAATTAACAAATTAGTGAAAAATGACTCTAGGTACCTTAAATTGTAGGTAATTTAATTGCCTACAACATAAAATAACTAATATTCCAATAAGTCGTCTAGATTTTCGTGGACAGCAAAAAATAAAAAAAAACGTAAATTTGCAATTTGCCAACTTAGCCTCATTTCTTTCGAGTTACTTTTTTGATATTATCATTCTACATACTCTTCTCCGTCATACAGTGCAATAGAATTCGACTGGAGTATATAGTTAAAAACAATACATTATAGTTTTGAACTTTTTGAAAAATTGGTCCTTTATAGCGTTCCGCTCTTGATCATGCTTCACACTGGAGATTAGTTTTAATTATTCTCCATTGTGAAGTGTTTCTAGTTATTTAGATTGATGTTGGAAAATTATTTTAAATTAAATATGAAAAAATAATAGACCGATAAATCTCTAGGTCGGGAGAGAAACGACCTTGAGAAAATTGCTATTATGCCATTTGCATGATTTTTATTTATTTAGGGTTACAAAGTTACAAGTCAAGTTATGGAAAATTGGAAAATATAATCTTTACACAGAAAACACGTGGCGACTCGCCGGTGGTTCTTTATTATTAACTGATTCAATTGGCTCTTCTCCCTCAAGCATCGCGTTGCCGTTAACGACTGCGCCGTGGGTCATCTGAACATCTGTTATACTATTACGAGTATTTTATTTATAAAGAACCAAGTTCCCAAGAAAACCAAATCTTGAATATGAAGTAATAATATAATGTTTATTAGCTTAGATGCAGATATACTTACAAAAACTGAAATTGGCCGGAGTTGCCAATCTGATCAAAGCAATGTCATTGTTGAACGTCTTGGAATTATAAAGCGGGTGTATTTTTACGTCCTCGATATAGAAATCTTGAGTTGGAGGCGCGCATTCATTTCTGTCCGTGTCGCAGTCTTTTATGGTTTTCAAATTATGCTCCCCCAACCTTACCCCAACTCTAAACAAATGAATAATAGAATGGTATAAGAGAAAGGTAATGAACAGTACAAATGGAAATACCATTTGCTAACAGCAAATATACAGAAATATACAGTACGCGATTAAAGTATGGAATAAATTCAGTAAAAACGAAACAAATTTTTTTTGGGAAAAATCCTTATGAATTATTTCTGGAGTAACTCTGTGTATTTCATCTATAATACAAGTTTGGAGTTCTTCTAAATTATGTGGTCTATTAACGTACACTTTGGACTTTAAGTAGCCCCATAAGAAATAGTCCAGGGGTGTAAGAACTGGAGATCTCGCGGGCCATTCTATCGGTCCTCGTCTGCCGATCCACCTCCTAGGAAAACAACTGTCCAGCAAATCTCGAACAGGGCGCGCATAGTGAGAAGGTGCACCGTCTTGCTGAAACCATATGGTGTCACCAGGAATATCAGGGTCATTATTGTTAAGAAAAATTACTGCAAGTGCTGGAACAAGGTTATTTTGTAAAAACTCTAAATATCTTTCTCCTGTAAGGGTTCCTTCAAAGAAGAAAGACCCTACTATTCTATTGTCAACTATTCCAGCCCACACATTTAATTTCTGTGGGTGTAGGGTATGTGTCTCTGCCATCCAATGAGGATTTTCCCGACTCCAATACCTGCAAGTTTGACGGTACACTATATCACTGAGACAAAACATGGCCTCGTCTGAAAAAAGTATTTGCCGGTGTAAATCTCTATTTATTTGACATAAGTCCATCATAATTTCACAAAAGTGTAAGCGGCGGTCGGGATCGTCTTCATTGAGTTCCTGCAAGGGATGGTATTTTTCCTTCCTCAGGATACGTAGCACTGTGGTCTGACTAATTTCATTGTTTAATGCAACCAATCGTGAAGTATTATGAGGATTATCTACCATACTTATCAAAATGTTCTGTTTGTGATCTTCACTAACGCTTGGACATCCAGGTATTGGAATATCTACAACATTGCCAGTTTCTCCAAATTTAGATTCTATCTTACTGACTGTTGATTGGCTGATACGGCGATCTGAATATTTTTCATTAAATAAATCGCAAACTTCCTGCTGCGTTCTAGTTTTATCCCCGCATCTGATAAAAATTAAAATTTCAATTCTTTGAGTGACAGTTAAATGTGCCATAATACTTTAAATTCAATAATAATTTTTTTATCGCTTACAATACTTAGAAAGTCGGTATGACAGTGACACTTTGTAAAAATTTACATCTACCTGATCCATAAAAAATTTCAGGCATTTTGAAAAACTAAATTTGATAACGTTTTTGCTTTATTTTAATTGATTTGGGTTTTCTTACATTTAATCGTCATTTACTCGAAAACTTTCCTATGTAAGATGGCAACATTTTAATACTGTCGGAGCGACAATGAAACGATCTTTCAGAATCAAGAAAAAAATAGGAGGTTGATATTTAAAAAAAATGTCGCCTTTTATGCTAAAATATGTATTTTTTAAATTAAAAATCGACATGTTCGAGGATTTTTTCCAAAAAAAAGTTGTTTCGTTTTTACTGAATTTATTCCATACTTTAGGCGTGTACTGTATAAGGTGTAATATTTTGTGTTATAAATTAAAGAGCGTTTTACTTATCTAAACTTAAGAACATTGTCTTACATATACAAGCATTCACTCTTGATATCTTCGTTTTTAAAATAGACGGTGCCGTTTTTAGAACAAACAAGATATCGGCAGTAAATTCTACGTGCAAAATGCATATATAAAATTGCAGTCTTAGCTCAATAGCAATATGTAAAAAAACATACGTTTAAATAAATGTACAATTTATTTTAATAATTTCACAAAGTAAGTTTGAAATTGCTTCACTGCTTACTTAATTCATTTTTGGATTTGATGGACCTGATAATACGAGTACTCTTGAACCTTAACACCCTGTATCTCAAAAATACTTCAGGGACAAATATTTATATAAAAAATATCCTTAAATTTAGACAACTAAAACGCTCCCTCATTTTTGACACATTGAAGTGTTACCTGCTGTACTGTACGCAAAATATTTTCGGAAAAACAAAATATTTTGGTCAACTATAAAAACTGTATATGTTATTTAGAAATTATACTTACATGCTGGAACTCAATATACAATGGGCTGCAGTGAGCACATATCTCTCATTTATAACAGTTCCCCCGCATCTAAAATCCAAACCGTTATCTAAAAATATAAAAATCAGTTTAGGATTCATGGTAGAATTAAAACTTTTATTATGCGTTAATACGTATTTCAAAAAACATGATTTTCAGCAATATAAAAGTACTTCAGAATTTAGTCAATGAAACATTCCAAATTGCTACACAGGGTGTTCTAGAAGCTTTACAACTTTAACAGATGGTAGATGGATTAATTTCAAACATTCTCTTGCGACCAAATTTTTTTGGCTCCAAAGACAAGGGGCCCCACGAAAAATTGTCCTAAAGGGCCAAGAAGCGTATCACCATCAGATTCCACATGTCACAAAACCCCTGTCTACCAAATTTAGTGATTCTCGTACAACTGGGTTCTGAGATATAAAAAAAGATTATTATTCTTAGGGATGGATTTCAGGGGATTGTAACTCCGAAAGAGGGAGCCACTTGGCAAAAATAAAAAATACGGGCCCCCTAAATTTGTCTTAAGAATCTGTGACCAAATTTTGTTGTACTAATTAGTAACTTACCTGTGTGATAAGCAATCAGAGCCATCCACGGAAATTCGCCAAGCGCCGTTTTCTTCCCAGCAGTTATCCTGAAATCTGTGTAAATTGGTCCACATATGTCGTTCCTCAGCAAATTGAAATTTTTATGTTTGCTGACTTCATTGTCGAGAGCATCGAATATGTTAGTCAACATGTCATCCCTCTCTTCCCTATGTAGTTGAGGTGGTGTTGGTGGTGGTGTTGGTGGTGGTGGTGGTGGTAGCGTTGTAGATGGCGGCGGCGGTGGTGGTGGTGTGGGTTTGTCGCAACACACATAGGGGGTGTTGTTAACGAGCCAGCAATGGTTTTCACGAATTTTTTCTATGACGCTTCTCGGTCGAGGTATGGAACTCCTGTTGAGTAGGTCGTCAAAAAACGGACATTTCCTTATTTCGATACATATTTGTCCCCTTCTTTCACAAATTGATGGGAAATCTATAAATAATTGTATTTGTTATAAATAAATAAGAAACCTACAGCTTGATCAAAATCGACTTTGCCGCGTGATGCGCAGTGGGCTTTGTTCTTTAATTGAGCCCGTCATAGCTGTGACGAAGACAGAAGGTTTTGCTACTGCGCATTAAGGCTAAGATGGATTTTGTCAAGCTACATGACAAGTTTAAATCAGTTGTGACATAAAATTTTAGTGAGCGGGTAAGTAAGAAATTGGAATAGCCAGTTTCTATTGGTCTCAAATTAATGCCTATATCACTTAAAGAACGCTACCAGTGGTGCGGAAATTTAAATTTCGACTAAAACGTGTATTACGATGTGACAAATATTTGAATAAAGGAAATTGGTCCATTGAGTCGTATAAGCTACATTAAATAATGTAATGTCCTACAGGTTTATTAGTTTATATACAGGGTGTCCCACTAATTTGCGAATAACTTGATAACAAAAAAGATATCGAACACTTTTTGGCGTCAAAATGTAGCTATTCTTATGCTCTTCCCTTTTCAAACTAACTTATAAAAAATATTATCCTGCTATATCACTTTTTTAAGAAACCTAACCTTGCATAAATAACGCCAATAAACATTTTCGTTAGAAATTTCAAACTTATACTATATTCACCAATTTGTTGTGCTAAATTCATTTATGTAAAGAAAACTATAGCATTGCATTTAAAATTTTTGAGAAAAGTCCATCTAACATTACTGAAAAAAATTCTCCTAGCGGCCGAGCTACGAACTTGAAAACTATTTCCAGCGATTTCTCTTGGTTGATTTATCAATCAAAATTTTTTTCAATAGCTATCGAAAAGACACAAAATTTTATTCAGCGAATTCACTACTGTCAGGAGGTAAATGAACACACTTTGAACACCTTATAAAATAGAATTTCAAAGAAAATATTTGTTGTTTATTACAACTTGTTTTCTCTTATTTCTTATTCTGGCATAACTATTGTTTAATTTAATTTAAAATATCCAGGACATTCATTAAAATATATATTTTTTCGTTTCATGCATTTTTATCAACCCTGAACCATTATTGTTTTTTTTATTTTCTGTAAAAAAAACAATAAATGATATCCACATCCTCCACTTTGTGTTATTTTCAAAATAAATATCCATAACTTGAGGCCCTTTTTTTTATAAATTTGAGAGTAGTGAAAAATTACTTTCAAAGTCCGATATCTCAAAAATCGTTAATTTAGGTGCGTGTTGTGCTATATATGAATTTCGAGAAGAATTGAAATATGAAAATATACAGGGTGTAGACGTACATTATACATACACTGTCGACTTGGCGTATAGTTATAACACTCTAGGTGACTTAATTACTGGAACAAATTTTAATTTTTTTACACACTAGATTTTACACAAGACCTTGTATGGGCACGTGTGCATGAAATTTTCTGGATTTTAGTCAAATTCTTCAAAATTATTAATGAATCTAATTTTAAAGTATATTTTGTTATTTATGTCGGAAGTGTCTTGATTGTACTGCCAAAATTCTGCAGTGCCAAATTTGACGTTTCACTATTAATATCAAATTTATGGTTATGATAATGTCTTGGGTAAAACAAGCTTTAATCCTGTAAAATGTAACTAACAGAAAAAAATAATAATTACTCTTAAAAAGTTTTATTAACAAATATTATTTTCGAGGAAAATTGAAAAAGTATCATAATAACAATTATATTAAGAACATTGTTCTTTAAGCATTAAAGATTTAAAAAAAAATTATGTCACGCCACTGGAAAGAAGTATTCTGATATTTTTAAAACACAAATTTTATTTTGATAAAAAATGTTCTCTTTACTTGTTTGCTTTGCCTTTTTGGTACAAATTAGCAATTTATTAAATGATAACGTATAGATAAATGCAGAATTTATGTAAATTATTTTATAAAATATCTTCGAAATCAGCGTTTCTTTGTCTCAGTACACTTGTTGATAATTTTTTTCAGATAGTTTCGCACTACCCCAAAGATTTATTTATTCTGATTCATCTGCTACCTTTTTTTTATATTAAAAAAAGATTCAACAACTATTGAAGGATACAAGAATAAAACAGGGAATGTCAATTTTTAAGAACATTCTGATTATTGCATTTCTTATTTATTGTTTTCATTTCATAGGTGTTTATTTTACTTTCAGAACTTATTTGTGGTAGCTATTAATGAAGATAAGTATTTAAATATTTTAAAGTTAAGAGACTTTTGTGAAAACCCGGAAGTAATCGATTTTTTTTACTACATTACCTCACGCAATCCGACAAGGAAATGAGGAAGAAGGAATACTTAGTCTTGTCGTCTTGGACAGTCCTTGTTTTATCCTTGAAGATGTGCATTTAGTGGCAATATTTATTTATTTATTTATTTATTAAAAAAATACAAATATATTTTAGGTTTTCTCTAGTTCTTCTATTTCAGAAATGTATTTTGGTATACTTAGATAAAAAAAATTGGAAAATTTATTTGTTTTGTGTTTATCCTGTAAGATTTAATATTAAAAATGAATATTTCGTAAATTCTTCTTTTTTGTGACTTCAGTTGTTTTATTATATTTTTATAAAATTGAGGTAAAACAATCTGTATAATGCTAATTTGTACCAAAGCGGTAATAGATACGCAAATAAGAGATCAATTTCGTCCAAAATAAAATTTACAATTGATTGTAATTTTATTTTTGTATTGAGCACAAATTCATTATTATGTTTTTTCAATTTCAGCCCCTTGTATCTTAATTAATCAGGGATGATCCAAATTGGAATGGAGCCTGCGGCTAAATTTTGTTCTAGCCGTTTTATATCTAGGATTTATGGAAAAAGGGCGTATTATTGTTCCCATAATATCTTCTTTAAATTAAGTAAAACGTTTTTGTGGAAAAGGGCACATGTTTATTAACAGGATACTGATTTCTTAATCAAAAACTTTATCAATGGAGGAATTGATTTAAAATATTATGTTTTTTATGGTAATGGTATGATAAAATGTTTAAATATCAATATTTTATAATTTACCATCCCTAATACACATTTTCACATGAAACCCTCGATATGTTACAGTTTTTTACTGAATTACTCAAAATTTACAGTAAAAAAAGTGATGTGATTATTTCTATATTATTTCTATAGGTTGCACTATTAATAACAAAGTTCTACGACGCAAAATGTCTATACTAAATTTTAAGTCGTTTCCAATTGTTACAGAAACATTGAAAATTTAATTAATTTCGAGACGTTTGCATAAAATAATTTAGAATATAATTATGACGCAAAAAAAATAAAGTGATCAATATTCTAAAATTTTTTTCAAAATAGCTATTTACAAAAGTAAAGCGAAACAAGTAAAACAAGAGAAGATAATATTGATGAGTATAGAACCTAAACAATGTTTGTAATTTTCCAAGTACAAATAACCACTTTTCTGTAGCAATTATTTTCTTACAAACTCACTATTTATAAATTGTTATTAAGCAGTAATACTGTTAAAGTATAGAGTTGAACAGCTGCCTTCAACGTAAAGTCCAACGTCTACCTTTTTATTCCTAAGATGGTTAAAAAAAAAGTTACATACGCGTAGGAATTATGAATATCAAAAAGATTCTAATATTTTGATCTCAAAGATCCACATTATTATAAATTAACTAAAAATAGATATATTCAGTGTCCTTAACAACTAGTATCATTACTTTTGGCGCTAGAATATTAACAAGCTTTTAGATATAAAAATTCCAATGAAGCAATTTATGGGCATGATAAACACTTACTTATAAGAAGTCCTCCGGCAAGAATGTGTCCAACCCACACGCTCAAAAAAATCACGTAGTAAATATTATACACAACAGACGTCATTTTAAAAACCAATTCACCTTGTTACACCTATCGGTATGAACTGATTCTATTTACTGAATTACAAATACACTTGTAAGTAACAGGTAAATTCCGATTTGCAAAGGTAGGGTGGTAATCCCTTAATAGGGCATTTAAATTATCTTTCGGCAAATTCGTAACAGGTATTTAAGAAGGTGCTAGATTGACGCGCGTCAATGACTAGTTTAATTGATGGTCAAACAAAGTTTAATTTTTCCATTGATTAATTACGTATGATATTGCTGGTCTCTCCAATAGATGGTTATTAATGCTGGTGTACAATACAATACAATATTATTAGATACGTATAGACTGGTATAAAAAAAATACAATAATTTATAGAAATTATTTTTGAAGGAATTATATTTTCGGAAATTTAATAGAATAGGTTTATTTACCAAGCGACATATATACAAGGTGTCTCACCACGAACGTAGGATTGACCGTTTCCTAGAGATTTTGATTTTTAAGCAAAAATTGACAGATGCAGACTATCAGCAATATTTAGTTTTCCCGGAAACAGGTTTATTTTTTTGTGCAAATTGGACATTTTGTAGAGGAAGACCTAATTTATCGAATTTGACATGAAAATTTTCCAGTTTTTATACAAGGTGGTCAAAAAGAATGATCTAATATGAAGTTCAGGAAATGTGGAAAACTCGAAATTTTTAAATGGAAACCCCTAATTTTTTACATTCTGCACTAAAATTAAGTGTAACTTTGTGAAAGTTTCCCTATACCTAAACCTAATGGTTTTCATTTTATTTACGAATAAACATATCCCTTTTCTTAAAATGGTGTTTCCATCTGTTTCGCATATTTTAGGTTGGCCGTGACAGGTAAGTATAATAACAATCAACATGACAACTGTCACAAGTTTTTAATTGCCAAATTTATTTAGTTCCTTGGGGGTCGGTGCTCTAATAGAATTAAATTGTTTTGAAATTTACTAAATGTTTCACAATAATAGTTATTTATATTTTTGTTATTCCGCAGGACAAGTCTGCCGCGTGCACACGTGGTATACATCAGCACTGTAACATTAGATTAAGCGCTGTTGTCACGTTGTAATGAAACTCCTCAATATTAATACTCGCTGTATTTTGAAAACTATTGATCTTACGCCCCTGTAATATACAATTTTTTTGTTCATTTATGATTAGTCTATCTCATGTTGAAGTAACGGCAGTCAAACTTCGTACACCCTGTATTTCCCATTTAAGCGTATGGTATTATCACTCCCTTCTTCTTGGTAAGTAAAAGTATTTGAAAAACACTGCAAATCGAATTTATATTCTTTGTTGCTCATTATATCTCTCTATTTTTGCGCAAATGACTCAATTTTTTAAACATTCATAACCCATTTTTTGGGTGGTAAATACCAAGTTTGGGTCCGCTATTTTAAATAAATTTAAGAATTAAAAACTTATATTGGTGATTAGCGAAAACCACCGAGTAACAAGTTTTAGATATCATCTGGAATACTTATCCAATTTTTACATCCACCAGATTGGATCCAACATCTTTTATTCAGATTCGTAATCAGCGACCCCAAAAACCCACGATAACAAAATTCATGCGAAAATTTTGAATAGAAAAACGTGCGAGTTAAAGGGAGTAAGTTGGACTCTGGTCAATAAGTGGTTTCAAACCTTTTGAGGGATAAGTTACATTATAATTTTTTGGTGTATTGTCTATCAACCTATATTTACATATTTGTGTGGTATAAAACACAAGGCTATGGCTTTACACATTGTTTTTCACTGACAGAAAATACACAAATTTGTATAATGATGTCTCTGGTACAGAATTGTTTTTTGTGAAACATATTTAGTAAAAGAGTTTGTTGATTTTGTTGTGGACACTTTCATTTCAGTTGGTAGAATGAACCTCGGTGTAATAATAAAACGGTGCGGAAGATACAGAGTGTTTAAATTTTAATATTTTATTTATTTTTATTAATTATTTCAGAGTTTTAAAGATATTGACTCGAAATTGATGGCTGTATTTTATTTAGAAATATTGACAGTAACCTACTAGATAATGTATCAATAGAAATTAAAAATACACAACTTGCAATAAAATGTTTCTTTTTCCTCAAAAACAGCAACCACCCCCTAAAATATTTCGCACTTATTTACAAACGCCTTGTATTTGTAACTAAGTATTGCAAAAAAAAATAGTTTCTATGTGACCATTTCTTCCAGATGACACTTACTAATTAGACTAGACTATCTGTTTTTGGCTTTCAAATATCACTAGAAATTAAAAATTTTTTATGCGCATAAAAAATACGTGGGCTTAACTTTTGGCGGCACAATATGTTAAAAAAATTCCAAAAATGTCATATTTTTCTTCCTACATATTTAATTATGTATCTTTTCAAGAGTTGATTTTAGGCGAAAATGGAAGCGGAAAAAATGTTTGTAATTATTTTTTTTACAAAACACGACTAGTTACAAATCGAATGAATCATGATTATTATGGTAAAAATCGAAAAAAATCGCAAAAATGGGGTTAAAAACATTACTTTTTACGGAATCTTTTTGAGGTCTTTAAATTGGGTTGGGATTTCCATACTTGGCTCAAGAAAGCACACCAAATTTCATCAAAATCTGTTGGATAGATTTTGCATAATAATTTTGCAATCCAGATTTTGAAAAAATCAAAATTTTGCACAGCAAAAACCAAGGCCCTTAGATACTTGAAAATTTAATCACATATAGATGGGCACTCAAGTTTTCAAACTTTTTTTGAAAAATTCGAATCCGTCAATTAGTTCTTGGAAAGACGCTTCTTTAAAAAAAAAACAATCAATTAGTTACGTAGTTATAGCCGATTCAATTTCGAGCAGGCCGAACGCCGCGCTCTCTGCTTCCCCCACCACAACCACCCGTACGATTTTATTGAATTTCTCTCTTGCATAAATAACTTTAAACACGTTTTAAAATAGGTTGCCAATGAAGAAAATTATTGTAATCTTAGACCTGGTAAGTACTCAGAATACCAAAGATATTTTTCGAAAAATTAGCCCGGATGTCCCAGTACATTTAGTGTAAATGACGGTTAACTTTGATCGGCTATAACTACGTAACGAATTGATCAATCGATCTGTTTTTTTTTTAAAGAAGCGTCTTTGCAAGAACTTTTAAAACCTGCTTTAAAAAATTTGATTTGATTGAATATTCACAAAGTTCTAATTGTTTATAAGTACAAAAATTCGACCAATGTTTAAACAAGCGCCAGAGCTCTCCTAATTGACGGATTCGAATTTTTCAAAAAAAGTTTGAAAGCTTGAGAGCCCTTCTATATGTGATTAAATTTTCAAGTATCTAAGGGCCTTGGTTTTTGCTGTGCAAAATTTTGAAAATTTGCAATTTTTTTTTCAAAATCTGGATTGCAAAATTATTATGCAAAATCTATCGAACCGATTTTGATGAAATTTGGTGTGATGATTCTACATAACATGAAGTTTTCTTGAGCCAAGTATAAAGGTCCTACACCCAATTTAAATACACCAAAAAAATTCCCTAAAAAGTATTGTTTTTTAACCCCATTTTTGTGATTTTTTCGATTTTTACCATAATAATCATGATTCATTCGATTTGTAACTAGTCATGTTTTGTAAAAAATTTAATTACAAACATTTTTTTCCTCTTCCATTTTCGCCTAAAATCAACTCTTGAAAAGATACATAATTAAATAGGAAGAAAAATATGACATTTTTCGAATTTTTTTAACATATTGTGCCGCCAAAAGTTAAGCCCACGTTTTTTTTATGCGCATAGAAAAATTTTCATTTCTAGTGATATTTGAAAGCCAAAAAGCCAAAAATCTCCGTGGATACACGATTCACCCAAATATGGCTTTTTGAAACAGATACCGTCTGGACTAAATATGTTCCATTTATATGGAGGAGAGATGGTTACAAATTCTGTGTAAGCCAAACTTGTATTTTTCATTATTTTATTGTCATCACGAAATTTATTCGTTTATCCCACTTTTACCATTTAAATTGGTTTATTTAATTAAAGCAAGTACACCAAAATCATTTTGTTTGTTTCATGGAAATAAGATTGGATAAAATGAAATCAAAAAATAAAGAAATTTTTTAATTTTCAGATCAACTCCTTGTACGTAAGAAACTATTCAATATTTTCCTATCATCAGCTGAATATGAAGTTTATAGTAAAAATAATGCAAAGATACAAAATTATAAAATATCAATGTGGTGTCTAACAAATATATATTTCATTCATGTATTTAACAGCAACAGATGTATATTAAAACTCAAAATTATATTGTCCTAAAATTTATCTTATTTCTATATCGATTCCGAAACCATTATTGAATCTCTTTCTTCCGAGTAAGTCAAATGAACCTGTAAAGTCAAAAAAGTCTGAAATATCAAACCCCTCGTTAAAATTTTCATATTTGTCCTTAATCGTTGCATCCCCATCAGACAGTGACGGTTTAGCAGTGGTCTCAACTTTACTAAAAGTATCCTTTAGGTCAAATTCTGTACTTGACAATTTGTTGTGCTTCTTGAAGTTTATGGATCTCGAATCCGGCTTGTTGTGTTTTAAAATTTGAAAATTTTTGGGTAGAAGCGAACAGCATACCATGGGGTAGTCCTCCTGAAATCCACACTGTTGGGACCTTAAAAATTCAACAACCACTGGTTTCAATGGTTTTTCCATTTTGCTGGTGAGATCCATGTATGGTCTGCAATCCTTTAAAGGCAAGCATTTGTTTTCCTTATTGCAGCTTTTGTAATTCTTCTCTGAAACATCGTTCAATATAATTATACGATTTAGAAATAATAATAAAGAGACTTAAGATTAAGATGACACATCACCGCCATTTTTGAGTTAATACTGCCTTTGCCATTGTCTATAAACTGTAATTTCTTATTCATATATTGACAATCATAATTCAGTATAAATATACCATTTGAGTGCAGCAAGACAAAAAAATAAAAAAAAATACACTTTTATTTTACATATTACTAGGGATTATTTCACCAAGCAGCTTGCCTTGTTTGGAAATCATAAAATTAAATATTAATATATCACAATTATATAGGAAGGCAGCCCGATGAAACAGTCTCAAGTGTGTTACTGAAGAATCCCTCTTTAGTGGAATACCCTGTATATTTGTAGC